CATTATTTCATGAAAATAACAAAGAACCTAATTGTATATATGACAAATTTTGAAATCTCCAGTGAAGCATATTTATGAAGCATTCAAGCTGCCCAACTTGCAACCTTAAAAAGCAAGCGGAGTTTTGATATGACTCTGAAGTCAGGCATGCTAGTCTCCATGATAGAAATCATAAAATGGAGTGAAGATGACTACAGACACTCAACTTAGATTCCACCACAACATGGTGATGGTTTCAAATGGTCAAGACTGATGGGATAAAGAAGCAAACAACAGTTGAGATTGACGGGAACTATAATAGGTTTGAAAGGTACTAAGTTAAGAAAGCTGTTCTCGACCTTTCAGAAGATAAGATACCAGTGGCATCATGTTACAACTTAATTACAACTTAAAATCTTTGCATTATCTTTCCATTCTATTTCAACCACATCCCGTTTACCCTCATAACACGAAACTCGTTATAAAAATTGCAGTTATACTTGATGGAGGAAAAGGAAGAATCTGATGGGACTGACAACATTCCAATCACCAGTAATGAATTCCAGATTGTGTTTCTATGCATTAAGATGTAGCAGAATTACCATCACGTTGAACCAGTTCTAACACTGCTCAATAATAAGAAAAACCGATTCAGACTAAATGAATATAATTTGCTGTAATATTTAAATAGTTGATTATATGCAGATATATGTAATATGATGGTGACTTCTTTGATATAATTTCCTGATATAGGTAGCATTTGGAAAAGTCACCACTTTGGAGCAAGTATATTTTTAAAGTATATTTAGATAATATGACTTTGCACAAAAATAATTATAGATTGAAGTCAAATGGTCAATTTTCCTAAGCTTATTCCATGAATATTGCACATCAATGTTAAAAATTACATATTTAAAATATTACAGATTTTTTAAAACTCTAACTTAAAGGCACTTGCTATTTCAATAAAAAAGATTTTGCTTGTGATATGCAATACAGTATTATGAATGACAAAAGCTTTGTATACATCTTTGTATACATTTTAAAACAAGCTTGAACTCCTTTGACCACTTGATTTGAAGAAACCCTAATGGAGATTGTGAGATTTCTCCAGAGAAAATGGCCAAGATCCTGCAGCCGTTTTGAACTATTTCTATGATGAAAGTAGATCTTATGGGCAATTCATGTAAAGTATACAGTATATCCTATATGCACAATGGATCATAGACCCAGGCCTCTTCTGGCCCTCACCCTGCAAATATAGAACACATATCTCAGTATAAATGCCCACATTTTACAATCTCTTCAGTAATATATACAGTAACATTGGAAGCATGAAAGAAATTGCAATTATGGATATGCACAGATGATACACACACACACACGTGCCCTTTCATCTTATTAGTCTGTATAGGAATAGTGCATACAACTCTTGACATCCTTTCAGCAGATGTTATATTTTGTGTAATTACAGAAATAGCAGCCTCCAGATATAAGTGATAAACCACCACTTGTAGTATGCCCTTGCAGTAAAAGTACAATCTCCACCAGATTGTAAGGTTAGGCTGTATCGGTCTCCTCTTCAGTGTAAGACAAGCCTTCAGTTCTACAATAGATCTTTACAGAAAGTCACTAGTTGTACTGACAGCTTAAAATAGTTTGTTTATTAGCAACATCAGCACTTTGGTTTATAGAATAGATTTAAGACTCTGAAAAGAACATTTCTCCTCTTCATGTCCTGGAAAATCTCAGCAATGTAGAGAATGGACTGCTTGTAAGACTCTTTTAGCTTGGGATGTTTTACTTCAGCCCTTGACTTGTTTATACTTTTAAGCAAAGAATGAAGATGGGAAACAAATCAGAGCGCAAGATGCAGTTGGCAGGGTCTGAACTTCAGGCCCTTCAGGCTCCCATCTTAGCATAAGGATTTGCCTCAACATTAATGCTGTTTTCCATTAAGTGGAGGTTTAATAGCATCAGGGACTGGCATTCCCAGCTTCATACAAAAACACTAGGAAATACTGCATAGCCCAGCCTATTAGCTGAAGTTCTAAGAGAACTGCATTTAAGAGTCTCTAGCAAGAATCTACATTTCCACCAAAACATCATTTCCAAGGTTCATGACCGTTAAGCCACTATAAAACTGAGAATTGCTTGTAATATAGACAGGTCCTCTGAATGGAGGAAAGAACTCCCGCAATACTGTTGCTGAAAAATTAAGAGACATTCTGTTGGTGGAGGTTGTTTCTGTTTCACAACGATGAGATCATGTCTGAACTGAGCAATGTAACCCTAAAGAGCCCCAAAGAAGGCTCGAATAATTCAGTGGTTCCGATTCCAACATAAATGTGCGCAGGATTGAGCTGTGCCACACAAACAAACATACGTGACCAACACATTTGGAATGTATCAGCAATATAAACTCAGGATATCACTACACTAGATCTCAGGATGTAATCACACAACCCATTACCCAGGTTGTTATAACACAAAAGATTAATAGGCACACAGCCAGCACCTCAACTACTCAGGATGTTACGAAACAGCTGAACAATCCGCAAACAATAACTCCCACACAGCCAACCAACCCACCTACAGCAACTAAGCCAGCACTCCACCCCCCCCACCAATATTTATAGAGAGACGGCAGCTCTGATCACACTTGGCTCACACAAGCATGAAGCCGAAGACCCCAGCCTGAAGATGACGAGTGGGACCTCGTTGAAATGTCGCCAAGATACTCTCAATCTTACACGGGAAAAGACCCGAATACGCCAAGACCTGCATATATAATATATATACATATACATATACATACATATATATATATAACAGACAATTGATGGAACTGATAGTCAAGTGGTACCGATAAGGGGGGGGGGGTCGGATAAATTAGAAGATATATCAGCAACATGCCTTCAGTACCAATTGAAGGGGAGCAACAATGGAAGAGGGATTCTGTCCTCCTGCTCTGATGGCGATTATACTGAACACCACTCCAGGAAAAGAACATGGGCGTTGACAGGTCTGACTCACGAGGCTTCCTTCTTTTAAGAGAAAGACCACATGCAATTGCAACTATTGGAAGCTATTTTTAACCAAATAACTAGTTTTATGAAGATTTTATTTTTTGTTATAGACCAGATGCTTCAGTTTGGTTAATCTACCTGGGGAGACAAATCTTGTCACTTCTGCTAGACACTCGGCAAACACTAAATGTACTGTTTTCAAGTTGTGAAGGTGCTTGTTAAATAGTGTGGGAGCAGAAACCTTGTCATGGACTCTGTGGGATATGAGAAAGAGAGTAAAATCAAGTCCACTCCATACTTAGTTTAGATATGCAAGCAATCCCCACTTAATATCCATTTGTTCAGTAACCATTTGAAGTTACAGCAGCTTTGAACAAAGGGATTGGTGACCGTCATGCATGCTGCACCATGCCCCACTCCTATATGGGCAGGGAGCTTCTTTTGTGCCAGTTCAGCTGGGGCTTTTTCATATGCCACAGGGCCTCCGTTCGTGGCCTGCCCAGGGCTTCTACTTGCTTAACAGCCAGGGCCTAAATCTGTGCCCCACCCTGGGCCTCTATTCCTGCCCACCCAGGATCTCTATTTCTGCCCTGCCCAGGGCCTCTAGCTGGGTTCTTGTTTCATGTGTTAGGCTTCTTTTACAAAACAACTTTTGGCCATGATGGAAAAGGAGAGAAGGGTGTATAAATCTGAGCCTATTATTATTCTTTCCCATTACAATAAACTAAGACTTACTAGGATGCTTGATTGAAATCACAAGCAATTAGTTGTGGACACCTTGTAGTCTCAAAGCATACCCCTAAAACTAATCCACCTAGCATTTTAATGATTTGATGAAGATGTTCAAATGGAAGTTGCATCTGTAATGACTAACTTCAGGGAAGACTTCTTCATATGTAGACAGCTTTCTGAATATTCTCTATAGTGCAGGGCTATGTTTAAGCAAATATTCCATTTTCTTTGTAACATACTGGAAATAAATCCTTCTGAACTGAATTATTTCTTTCCAACCAAGCATGAATAGTTTTGTAAGACTAAAAATTCCTTATTTCGTGACTTGCGTGACTTTGTTTACTACCATAATAATTGATTTGCATGCTACATTTTCATGGAAAATCAAGTCCAAAATATTTCACAACCACACATTTGTCACTTCATGGGAATCCAGGATGCTGTACTTTCTTAAAAGCGAGGGAAGCAGAGGAAATAATTAATATAATTTTTAACACTCCCACTCAGTTAAATTCCTATAAATCTTTGTGGGAAACCGTGACGAAGAAGAAGAAAAAACCCTTTTTATTAAAATTTGATCTTTCCCTCCTCTGTAATGATAATTATGATGTAGATGCAACCTTAGATGATTATGAAGGTATTCATGATAGAAAAATTGGAAACTGCTTTGTGCAAAGTCATATATGTTTTCAATCTGCAAAGATTTACTAATGTAGATTTAGGAATCACAGTAACATACAAAAGGAGAGATGAAAGAAAGATTCGTAGTGTCAGAACATAATCTCCAGACTCATGTTCTGATTATAACTAAGAATACTAAATATGGAGTCAAGAGACTCAAAAGAAATTTAAATAAAACTGTATCCTAGCTAAAGTGCGATTTTAATTCAATCTTCTAAAGAATAAGTTCTATTGCCAGCAATAGCAGCATAGATTTTAAGAGCACAGAATAGTCATCTGTGAAGAAGTATCTTTTATCAATGATACTTTACTGTTTTGCTATAAAGTAGTCCCAAGGACAGGGCAATCTGACTTGCAGAAGCCACAATTACCTACAACTAGGACATAAACAAGATAAAGAACACTTTTGCAATCTTAAAGCATTTAGGTGATTTTTTAAAAAAGCAGAATAGAAAGAATCACAGTTGCTACAGCAACCATAAATTATTCTACTTAAATGTGTTACCTAAATTATTTATTTTTAAAGATGATGATCTTTGTTTGACCTACGGCATTTTTTTTTTTTAAGGCAGATGTTAGCAATTTGATCTCAACAAAGCAGAGTAAAAAGTAGGAACATACAATATAAGGCTATAACTTTAAAAAAAATTGTAAACATGAAAATGGGAGGGGTAGAAAAAGAAAACTTATATAAATATAGTTTATATGTAATACATATATTCCAAAATGATCCATATATAAAACGTCAAAATACGTCAAAATAAGATAAAGACTTGGAAGGCATATTATATACGAGGCGTTTGGCAGAAAGTCTGTACTGAGTACTGAAAATATTACTCAGCCTTCATCTGTTCTCTAACATCCAAAGGCAGAGTTTCAAATAAGGTGTCTTCCACCGTAAGTCCACTCTTTTTAAGAGCTCTGCAGTCACCAAGTTCATGGGGAAGAAACTCCAGGTGATTTCCTTTAATGTCCAAGTAGGAGAGCAACACTAGATTTCCAATTTTAGGTGAAAGAATAGACAAGTTGTTTTTCCCAATCTTCAGCGTCTTGATTTTTTTGCAAAAGTATAACTCGTCTGGCACACTCTCTACTTTGTTGCAGGCAATTGAAAAATACTGTAAACTTTGTAGAACCCCAATTTCAGGGGGGATGAACCGTATGTCATTGTTAGATAGGTCTAAATATCTAATTTTGTTGCATAGGAAAAGGTGGGATGGGAGGACCTCTATCTTGTTGTGACTAAAAGAAAGCCGTTCTAGGCTACTGAGCTTCTTTATGTGCTCAGGGATGTAGGTTATACTGTTGTGCCATAACTTTAGGATTGTAAGTTTTCTAAGGTGTTGAAAGCTAACAATTTCCTCTATAGATTTCAGATTGTTTTCCTTAAGATCGAGCTCCTGGAGAGCGTTAAGGCTGAAAACAGCATGAGGAATGCGCTCTAGATCACAGTGCAATAGCTCTAATTCTGTCAAGTTGACCATTTTTTTCAGGTTGTTGAGCATGACTAGTTTAGTGCCATCATTATGAATGCACATCTTTTGAAGGTGACTTGAAACATCAACTACAGACTGTGGGATTTTGGACAGGTTGCTTTTAATGTGCAGAACTTTAAGGTTCTTAAGCTCTCGAAAAGACTCCAAAGTTATATTTTTGGAAATATCATGGCACAAGGAACCAATTAAGCTCAGTTCTTCTAAGTTTCTGAGCCCGTACATCCAAGGTGGAAGTTCTCTGAAGTCATCAAACTTGACATTCAAGACTTTCAGGTTTTCTTTTAGAAACGCCAAGGCTGCACTGTGGATCTTTGCACAACACTGGTATAGGGAGAGCTCTTGGAGATTGTCAAGTTGCACAATGGTAGCTGGTATCATGACATTATTAATAATTTCAAGTTTCAAGGACTGAAGCTCTGTAATTTCAAAGACTGTATCAGGAAGTCCAGACAGCATAAACAGTTGCAGTTCCAAACGGTTATGGGCATTCATTTGCAATCTTTGCCTGAGTTTATCGGCAGTCCACTCATTGTTTAAATTCAGCTGCTTCAGTTTGTTTTCACTGACCTCTGAAAGAAACACAGCAAATCTTTTCGAATAAAGAGGATCATACTGGTCGATCATGTGGAGCATGAAAGCAAAGTCATTCCGGACATCTGGGATATCATCAATTCCAGTCTCTTGCCGGACATATTCAAAAGAATATTCTTTCAGAGAGCGGTAAAACAGCCAGTACAAAGTGTAAAGGCACGTCAGTCCATAAATACTTACAAAGCATAAGTAGCAGAATGAGAGTTTAGAAAAAAGATGCGCCATTGTGTGATTGCAAGAAAAGTGCTTATATCCTGTCATGTCTTGAATGTCAACATTGCAATCTACTGTAAACTGAACTTTTGAAACGAGTGCACTGTTATATGCAATAATAATAAGAAACTTGATCACTTTCAGCACTGTTTGGCGAACGTACATAGCATATAGTAGGTCACTTTCCTCAACGTGGAGACGGAATTTCTTCACCTTCTCAAATAATGCTTTAGCTTGCTCTCCTTCTTTTTTATCCAAAGCCCCTGGAGTTCCTTTATCCACAATGAATTTTTCAGAGATGGATTTTAAAGACTGTGTCCTGACCAAATTGCCTTCTGTGCTAGGCTGGACCGTGTTTGACCTGCTGATGTTGTTCTTCCGGTTGTCCTTCCCCTCAGAGTCTTCTCCAGATACCTCTGACAAAGCCCTCGTCGTCCAAGGCGAGTCGAAACATTTCCCCAGAATGGAAATGAAATGTTCAATTTTTGAACTGGACCCTGGGAATTTGAACCAAAAGTTGCTACACAGCATGAAGATCAATGTGTGTATAAGGACAAGGTATGGAAAGTACTTTGCATACCAATGCAAGGCACGTTCGTAGCACATTTGATTTATAAAGCTGTACTGCTGGAGGTCTAAGTCAGTCTTTAGGCCCTTCATTTCAACAGTGGCAGGAGGTGTGGATGGCTTGGGTGGTGGAAGGAACTGAGCTGCACTGGAGTCCATATCTGACATATTAAGAAGGCGAGATACGTTCTGAGAAGGCTGGACTCTTTTGGGAAGGCATATGATCTTATCCTGCATCACCTGAAATGCACACAAACAAAAATTGTAATTTGAAAATACATTTTGAGGCAAGTTTCTCTTTTAGTGAAGGAAGAAAAGGTCAGACGCCTACAGATTTTGAAACATCTCTACCTGCAAAATTTCTAGATTGGAATCTGAATCGTTCCACCTCCCTAATCACCAGAAGCTCTGCAGACCTCAGTTATGTGTAAAAATCATAACTAGCTACAGCGCTATTATAATCTTCTGGCCACCAACATTTCAACATGACCATCTGTTTCAAAGGCTATTTATCCTTTTCACTTGGTCTTGAACTAAATAACCACATGCACAAAGAAAATTCCAGTATTATAGATTTTATTGCATGTATATATTTGTTAGCCTGTTCCGTTCAGGGAAAGTTACAAATGTTTCCCCTCTCTTGCAATTTATATTGCTATCTGAAGTCTGCAAGCCTCCATTTTACCACAGACTGTGGGAAAGGAGACACATAAATGTGGTGGCTTAAATACTGAAAGATAATAGAGATAGAGATGAATCTTTTAGTAGCTTTGGCAGGTAATCACAGTCTGAGGTTTCAGACTGGAAGCATGGATGGTTTCAAAGGCATAGGCTTTCAAGCCACGAGCAGAGAGTCAATACTTTTCTCTAAACCAGGTTTTCCTTCCATGAATAATGTTTTAACATCTTTCCAACTGTATTTCCTAAAGCTGGAATCAATTTGGGAGGGCTGACTCTTAGCATAAACCAGGGTCTTTCAAATATTCTAGATTCCACTACATTCATGCAGGATAAAAATTCCAAACCAAGAGCCTCTGTATTTGGGTGGCATGAGTCGCTCAAAGGGCCCCTTTATAAAATCTAGCATTTCGGAAGGCACCCATGTTTACTTCCAACGGAAAAATTGGACACAGATGATTAAATCTTTACAATGAACAGCATCTTTGCTCCTTTCTCTTCTGTAGCTGCATCACTTCCCATCTGGGCATTCTGGCAGCCTGGGAGAAAAAAACGGCATGCAAACTATGTCCTGTAGTTGCTTAGCAACAAGGAAGCAAATCACAGGGCCTTCTCTTTGCCATCAAAATGGCCAGATGGGTGTTCCAGACTGTTGTTGTAGGCATCTCTTCAATTGCCAACAGGGGCACGTATATTTATTAAACCCTGCATTTATTTGAAGGAGAGCATGAAGCTAACCCTGGCAGCTTAAGGGCGAGGCCTCCTTAACTTCAGCAATAGGAATGGACTGCCTTATTCCCAGATCAACCTGACAGCTATTAAGGGCAGCTGTAATTGCACTTTGCTCTATTGCTCTGTGCCCTCCCAAACCTCATAATAAATGGGACAAATGGGTAGTCTTGCAGTGGGAAAGGACAAGGAACTATTCTCCATCAACCTATAGCAGGGGTGCCAAACTCAATTTCATTGAGGGCTGCATCAGCATTGCGGTTGCCCTCGGGGGTGTGTGTGGCCAGGGTGGGTGTGGCCTACTGGGTGGGCGTGGATGGAGTGGGTATGGCCTATTGGGTGGGCATGGCCAGCTCTACATCGTTCGCATCAAGGGTGCCTGTGGGGGCCTGAGCAGAAGTGGGACAGATCTGAGGGTCTCTGGCAGAAGGGGATGGGACCAGGGCAAGCGCCAAGGCACGGTCCATTTCTTCATTCCTCACAAAGGGTGACACCTCCCCAGCATGCACCCAGGGCGCGGGGCTGACGCGGCAGGGGCTGGTTCCTTGCTGTTTCTAGACGGCCTTGTGGAGCTAAGACTAAATGCGTTTCAGCATAGATGGCCACCCCAAAATTGTACATTGGCTCCTGGCCGGCCTGGGCCAGGACCAAGGCAGCAGGGGCCATTCCCTCACTGTTTCCAGGATGGCTTTGTGGGCCACATGAAACCACTTCGTGGGCCACATCCGGCCCCCGGGCCTTGTGTTTGACATGTCTGATCTATAGGAAATGTACAAGTCAAAAGGTCCATGTTGTGGCTTAAACAGTAAAAGTTCCAGGCTAACAAAAGTTTGGCTTTAGCCCAGTACTACCTCTGCAATCCAAAACACTACCATATTTATCAAAAGGATAACTGTGAATTTAAGTTGACTTCCCCATCTCAAAAAGAAAGATGAAAAATCCATCTGCTTCCAATACAATATTCTCAATGTAATAAGGTCCTCATATTTTAAAGGGAAAATATTAGAGTAGGGCAAGTCCTAGTTTTCTTTTTAGGTAAACAGACAACTACAATGCCCAATTACAGAATGTTTCAATACATGCAAATATTTTAAAATTCTTTGTTGTGAGCCCCAATACTCTGTAGAAAATTATTTTTCATATTAAACAATTAGTCTATGATTAGTAATAAGGATACTGCAAATGACTTATTGGTCTGAATTTCTGATCTGAATAATCACAGATTTGTGTCAGTTGAAGCAGCACTGTTTGCAGAAGTGGCAACGAGCAGGAGTATAAATTCAAATATTTTCTTTCTTACTTGCTATTTTCCTTTTACTCATTTGCACACTCTAGCCTATTTACTTCAAGAGATTTACAAACCATAATGGGTGGATTCACCCAATTTACAGAATCAAAACGAAGCAAACCACATTGTCTTGATGTGAAGTATCATCAAGTATCATATTACACTATATGATATTGTGCAATGCTGTTGATGAATTTCCCTTGAAATCTGTTAAGATTGTATCTGTAATTTGTATCTTGCCGTGGTAGCCATGCTGAAACACAACAGAAGGCAAACCAGTGCATCCTCAGGTAAAGGAGCATGGTAAAGGCACAAGCAACTAGAACTACTCATGAATAGTCTCAAATAAAAACTTTACTTTCAGTCCCCTACGTTACAAGGATCTCGGGAATGGTCAGATAAGGCTTCAGGGATTTTGTGCTGCTTTCTGCACTGCAAGGACTCACCCCCCCTCTTAGCACCTCTTTCCAGCCTAGCTGGAGATTCCACAAAGACAGAAGAAGACATCTGGATCTCTAATCTAGGCAAAGTTAATTGGCATCAGGATCTTGCATTTAGAGTTTTTATTTAATAGTATTTCTATTCTGGCCTGCAATATCAAATTCCATCCCTACTCTCTGTACAGAATGGGACAACTCGCCACAGCCAACTCGCTGTGGGACAATTCCATTTAATTATTTAAACTAAATAAAAAATTATTTTAATTTTTGCCATTCACATTTCATTCTGTCCCTCCTTTTGCATCCTTTCTTTAATGATTCTAGTCCAACATTTCTTTGATATTAGCGTAACTCTTGTCCTGTGGCGAGTTGGCCACAGTGAGTTGGCCGTGGCAAGTTAGCCGTGGTGAGTTGGCTGTGGCAAACTGTCATAGACCCCCTCCCTGTATGCTTGTGGTTTCCACTACCTCCCGCTCCCACAAGTAATTTTGTTCGCATCTGGGAAACAATTTACACGGCCTCTTGTGATCATGGTAATACATAAACTGACTGGGACAAGCAGAAGTAGGAAGTTTAGTTAGCACTACTAGGCCTCTGGCCAAGAATACAGGCCTTTAGAGTCAAGAATTTCGGTCTTGCATATAACTACTACTGACTGCCAATTCAAGAAAGACAGAATGTAGTATGTGTGGAAGGAAAGGGAGAATAAGAACAACTTAATGCCATATATAGCATTTGAATGCTATTTGTATCACAGAAATTTAAAAAAATTGTTATGTTCCAGAATTTTCTACTTTGTTTTTAATCCAAGAAATTGAATTCCAGTAAGAGAGAAAGAGGAAACACTCTGGAATATGTGGAGAACTATCTTTCAATATAAGGCAAAGTCTACAACAACAGTCAGTGCAAAAAAGGCAAATTTATTATCTAAATGACTAATGTACTCAGAACTTTTAAGATTGCTACTATAATGGGTTTAAAACAGGAGATAGAAGGGAAAACAACCAAAAATCAGGCCACTTTGGATATTGATTTAAAAATGACAGGCTATAAGAAAGATATTGGCAAGGGACTTCCGGTGGGACGGCGCGCCGATGGCGGCTCTTTTCGGAGCCGTCCGCTTGGGAAGGCGTCAGAGCCAGCATGAACAGCGGTCAGCAACTGTTCAGCGGCTTGGAACCTTGTGCCCCGGGAGAAGGGGTCGAGGTGAGTATTCCTGGATAGGAGTAGAGTCCCAAAAGCTCTCCCTTTTTCTTGGGAGAGCGAAATTGGGTACTCCTCCGGAGTCCGGGAAATCTCCGTCTCCCAAATGCCTTTGTTCCCTTTTTTTTTGGGGAACAAAGCCAGTCGTTGCCTCCACTTCTGTGAATTACAGAGAACTGTGAGTAAATAATAACCAGATGGAACTGACCAGGGGAAACTGGACTTGAGTAACTTAAGACTTTAACTCAATTTATTAACATCTTCTTTAAAGTTAAGCTGAAATGAGGAAAAAAAATGGCTGCGGTTTGCCGGTTTTTTATAGATGAGATTGACTTTCTTTTTTAACTTTCACTTTCCTGCAGCGCTGAATGAAAGGGAGATTGTTACCCCTTGGCTTAAAGTTGTAACTTTGACATATTTTTTCTTTG